ACCCGTAGAACCCTCGAGCCGAAGGTGGACCATACCAAGAGCAGCTGTCGTGCTGACCGCTGACAGATTTCCCACACCGCTGCATAAACCACAGTGGTTTCCAACCCGTGGTTATAGACAATCTTTAAAATGTGAGTATTGTTTTCTCTAGATATAGTTAAAGCTTCTTATTTATTTTACAAAAGGCCATCATACCCTGTGTCAATTTATAAAATCTCTCTTAATCTCAACTGAATTTGTGCACATTTATCCCGGAGAGGCAAATAGAAATCTTACGAGTTGCATAAAATTGTACTGGAAATTGATAAAACAACAGGGAAAAAATAGGAATAGTTTGAAGAGTAGATACATGTTAACACATTAAGATTTAACATTGAATCATGAGACAATAGCATTCAGAGTCGGACGCTTTGCTTGTATATTTACCAAAGAAATAAAATTATATAGATTTTTGAGACACATATAGAAACAGATATCCTATTGATATTTTTAAAATTAAATAAATAAAATGATGGTGATACATATTTGTATTACTTCAATATACTGGACTTTCATGAAATTATATATTTTAAAATGTTCTGTGTCCCTTTATTATCTAAAATTCGAATAATAGAGGGATGTTCTTCTTTGATACATACGCAAGTAGCGCGCCCACACATTTCTAGAATGTTTCCGCTTCTTTATATACTGTTCATTTTTACTGTCAACAATAATATTTTCTGTGGGCCTTGCTATTACTAAAAATTTGGAAGGAAAAAATAATGACCTGTCCCATTGATATAAACACAAAAACCTTGCGGTATATATTGATATCTCCTGGTGGGCAGGCATTTTGGATTTTCCAAAGATGGTGTTGTGCCAATTGCCCGTGAATGCTGAATTGAAAATGACGGTCAATAATGGACCATAATTTTTTGTTTATTAATATATTTTTACAGATAAAGTTATACATTTATATTTTATTACGTTACTGATACTTGTACCAACTTTGATAGTAATTCTATCACTTTTCCTTGTTAACATAAACGTAGAAAGAATCGCACAGGATATCATTGTTGGTAGAGACGCGACGCGTCTACCTTTGGTCTCTTCCAAATTTTCTTAGTGTTATGACATTTTAAAGATTTAAATTGAAATAATACAACAGGTTTCTGGATATGAGTTCCTTTTTATTAATGTAATCTAAAGCTCACGGCGTTTATGATTATGTTTTATGTACTCCTGTAGAAAACCTCGAGTTACATTAATAAAAATAATCTCCTCTCCAGACACCTATTGTATTATTTTATCTTATATCCAAGAGATCCAAATCAAGTATTTTAAATGTTTTTCAATTGGAACTTCCTAAGTGCCAACTTTTACAGAAAATGGGAATTTTTTATAACATTTTTTTTTAAATTAGCTTCTTTCAGGCATATTTCTATGCATAATATTTTACATTTATTCATGTTGAATAATCATATATTTACAATCCTTTTCAGAAAAAAAAATACATATCAGTTTACAATTAATTGTGTTTGTCACAAGTTCCTGCTCTTCGATTGATATATCAGCAAAGTCTGTCGCCTTTTTTGTATGAAGTCTTACTTTTGATTAGGGATTATGTTATGTGAATCTATTGAAAGTTCTCTATATTAATTTTGCAATAGCTCTTATTTACCAAATAATTCGGGTAGGGCTTTATATTAAACGCTACTTAAAAATATTAGTTTCGGATTAGGCGTGTTATATATAATAGAAATACATCTATTGCTCTATGATGAGGGAGAGTAATGCTGCAGACGATTATAAAAAAAGGGATTACGTACAGAAGTGACAAGACATCCCGTGACGACGTTCTCCAGCCATTCTGTATAGGATTCAAGAGGGGCTTCTTCTTCCATCAAACTTTCCAGCTCACGGCATACTGCACACATTCCGAAAACATGTCATATATATAAAACACTACAAAAGACGAGGTAGTAAGTATAAAAGAGAGAATGAATACAAGAGGTGTTATTAATGCAAATAAAAATACGCCAGAATTCTTTTGTGATGACTAATCTCGGTGGAGGAATGGGGCATACGTCGAATTTGGAAAACCACATTCCCGGGCTCCTGTACGTTATACGTGGCTAAGTTGAAAAGTTCTGTTTGACCCAGAGATCAGCAAAAGATTACGTTTACTCCCTACGCGCGCATGTAATAATTTATAGATAAGTTTCAACTTGTGTTTGTGTGGTTTGTGTAAACGAGTTGCGTGTTTCATTGAAATTGATAAACTTGAATACCTTTCAATTATTGAATCACTCGTTTCAGAAAATAAATCATCTGTAGTTGACAAATGTTACGGGAACTCTCTGCTCCTTCAATTTCAACCGTTAAAAGTTAGGCAGCTGAATTTAAAACTCGGTCGCACGTCGATCGATTACCCGCGTGAAGGACGGACAAATACCACAACCACACCGCAAATTTTCGAAAAGGTGAAAAATATCGTGTTGGAAGATAAGCGAGTAAAGGTGCGTGAGATAGCTGAGGCCGTGAGAATATCGGAAGAGAAAGTGCGGAATAACTTTCAAGGAGAATTAGGAATACGAAAGCTCTGCGCAAGGTGGGTGTCGCCTTTACTGAATTCAGATCAAAAGCAAAGGCCCAAATGACATTATCAGCTAGTTGAACATTGCTTTGGACCGAGTCAAGAGAGATTACAAAACTATTCTGTTTCGATTTGTCACCCATAGATAAGTGGAAGCCGGTGTTCAACGTCAAAGAAAGCGAAGTCGATCGCATCTGATGGAGAGGTCATGGCCAGCGTGTTTTGAAATGCCAAAAGGATCCTGTTAATTGATTACCTCGAGAAAGGCAGAGAAATATATAGGTGAATATTAATCTAACCTTCTTGACTAAATTGGATGTCAAAGTTCGAGAGAAGAGGATGGCTTTATGAAGGAAAAAACTCACCTTGTCACCAGGACACCTGTTCACAAAAGTGTATTGGCAATGAGAAAACTGCTGGATTTGAAATACGATGCCTATACTCCCGAATTTGGCACCCTCAGACTTCCATCTCTTCCCACACTTGAATAAATTTGTTTCTGGACATTGTTTCACCACATTCGCATTCCAATGAGACAAACCAAGAAATAGGATAGTCGACAGCCTTTATTTCATTTCACTATGACAGTTGACAACCAAAGGCACATAATTTTGGCAACTTAGAACAAGAATCTAATTTGAGGACAGATAAATTGTGCGGTTAAAATAGTAAATATTTGAGAGACCAATTCTTAGTTTTATTACTAGGTTCCTAGGTTATTCTATCTCGGACTAAGAATTGGGTCTCTCAAATATTTACTATTGAACAGGTATTCAAATTATCGATAAAACTGGAAAGGGCTGGAAAATTATGTAGCAATTACTCGACAAACCCTCGTCAACATAACATTTGTCCGACTAAGGCCAAGCCTAATTTCTACACTGCAAACAGTAAACTTAATTGTCTTTGATAAGGAAGGTCCACATATGAGGCTAAGAAGATAGATATTGCAGTGATTTGAATATATAAAACAATTTTTGTCAAAATATTGAACATTTTGAAAAAGTTAAATTGCAAATGAAAAAAGGGACATCAAATGCAGATTAACTATATATATAAAGAAAAAGTCGTGAATATGTAAAACCTATATTATCAACTAAATGAACGGCTTGAACAGATTTGGATGAAAATTGGTGGCTAGGGTAGCTTAGAACCAGCAGAAGGACATAGGATATTTTTACCCCGTTCTACTGCGTCAAGAAACGGCTGAACTGTCAAATACATTCATTTATACCCGGTGTATCAGAGGCGCATTCGCGAGCGACACTCAACGAAACTTTACCCACGAGCTTATGTTTAGTAAATATTTTTCCTTTTTTGTAAATATATACATTGTGTTTTATTTTTTAAACTATCAGATCTTTAATAAGAAAACATCTTATTAAAAATTCAATAAATGTTTTCAAAAATATTATGTTTCAAAAATATATTTAAACGTATATAACAATATTTATATACGTTTATAAATCTATATATAGGTTCAACTTTTAAATAGGCATTTTAATTTTTTTTTTTAACTTTCATTTTAATTTAGACACTTTCATTTTTATTTAGACATTTTCAATTTTAATTTTGACACACATGAGCATTTCTATATATTATTTATTCAAGCGCACTT